GATAGTCATTCTGACAAGTGTGAAGTGATATCTCATTGTGGTTTTGATTTACATTTCTCTAATAATTAGTGATGTTGATAATCCTTTCATGTGCCTGCTACCCATCTGTATGTCTTCTTTGAAAAAAATGTCTATTCAGGTTCTTCTGCCCATTTTAAAAATCAGGTTGTTTTTTTTTTTATATATAGTTATATGAGCCGTTTATATATGTTGGATATTAACCCCTTATTGACTATATCATTTGCAAATATTTTTTCCCATTCCGTAGGCTGTCTTTTCATTTTGTTGATTGTTTCCTTTACTGTACAAAAGCTTGTAAGTTTAATTAGATTGCAATTGTTTATTTTTGCTTTTATTTCTTTTGCTTTAGGAGAGAGATCAAAAAAATATTGCTATGATTTATGTCAGAGTGTTCTACTTATGTCCTCTTCTAGGAGTTTTATGGTTTCAGTTCTTACATTTAGGTCCATTTTGTTTCTGTATATGGTATGAGGAAATGTTCTAATCTCATTCTTTAATATTTAGTTTTCCAGTTTCCCCAGCAAAACTTATTGAACAGATTGTCTCTCCTCCATTGTATATTCTTGCCTCCATTGTCATAGATTAATTGACCATAACTGTGTGGGTTTATTTCTGGGCTCTCTATTCTGTTCCATTGATCTATATGTGTGTGTGTGTGTGTGTGTGTGTGTGTGTGCGCGCGCGCGCGCGCGCGCGCTAGTACCATGCTGTTTTGCTTACTGTAGCTTTGTAGTATAGTCTGAAGTCAGGGAGCATGACATCTCCAGCTTTGTTCTTTTTTTTTTTTTTTCATTTTTCCCATGCCGTGTGGCGTGTGAGATTTTAGTTCACCAACCAGGGATTGAACCCAGGCCCTCAGCAGTGAGAGTGCAGAGTCCTAACCACAGGACTACCAGGGAATTCCCTCCAGCTTTGTTCTTTTTTTTTAATTAAAAATTTTTTTTCATCTTTATTGGAGTATAATTGCTTTACAGTGTTGTGTTAGTTTCTGCTGTACAACAAAGTGAATCAGCTATATGTATACATATATCCCCATATCTGCTTCCTCTTAAGCCTCCCTCTCACCCTCCCTATCCCAACCTTCTAGGTGGTCACAAATCATCGGGCTGATCTCCCTGTGCTATGCAGCAGCTTCCCACTAGCCATCCATTTTACGTTTGGTAGTTTATATATGTCAATGCTACTCTCTCACTTTGTCCCAGCTTCCCCTTCCCCCTGTATCCTCGAGTCCGTTCTCTATGTCTGCATCTTTATTCCTGCCCTGCCACTAGGTTCATCAGTACCTTTTTCCTAGATTCCACATATATGCGTTAGCATGCAGTATTTATTTTTCTCTTTCTGACTTACTTCACTCTGTATGACAGACTCTAGGTCCATCTACCTCATTACAAATAACTCACTTTTGTTCCCTTTTATGGCTGAGTAATATTCCATTGTATATATGTGCCACATCTTTTTTGTTTGTTTGTTTGTTTTTTGCGGTACGCAGGCCTCTCACTGTTGTGGCCTCTCCCACTGTGGAGCACAGGCTCCACACGCGCAGGCTCAGCGGCCATGGCTCAAGGGCCCAGCCGTTCCAAGGAATGTGGGATCTTCTCAGACCGGGGCACGAACCCATGTCCCCTGCATCGGCAGGCGGACTCTCAACCACTGCGCCACCAGGGAAGCCCGCCATATCTTCTTTATCCATTCATCTGTTGATGGACATTTAGGTTCTTCCATGTCCTCCAGCTTTGTTCTTTATCCTCAAGATTGCTTTGACAATTCAGGGCCTTTTGTGGTTCTGTATAAATTTTAGGATTATTTGTTCTAGTTCTGTGAAAAAAGTCATGGGTATTTTGATAGGGATTGCATTAAATCTTTAGATTGTTTTGGGTAGTATGGACAATTTAAAAATATTAATTCTTCCAATCCAAGAACATGGGATATCTTTCCACTTCTTTGTATAATTTTCAAATTCCTTCATTAATGATTTATAGTTTTGAGAGTATAGGTCTTTCACATCCTTGGTTAAGTTTATTCCTAGGTACTTCATTCTTTCTGATGTGAATGTAAATGGGATTGTTTCCTTAACTTCTCTTCCTGATAGTTCAGTATTTGTGTATAGAAAAGCAACAGATTTCTGTATATTAATCTTGTATCCTGCACCTTTACTAAATTCATTTATTACTTCTAATATTCTTTTGGTAGAGACTTTGGGTTTTCTATATATAATATCATGTCATCTGTAAATAGTCACAGTTTTTCTTCTTTCCTTGCAATTTGGATGCCTTTTATTTCTTTTTCTTGTCTGATGTGCCTGATGTGGCGAGGAAAGTAGAGCAGTTTTACAAGTCATTGAGTGTAATGATAGAGATTTGGGTTACATAGGTACATGCATTTGTTAAAACTAGAGCTCAGTATTTATTTATAGTTTCTTTTCATGCAAAATTTACACATAATAACATGCACAAGTCTAAAATGCTTGCTGAGTTTTGACAAGTGCATGATCATCACAGCTCTGCCTCCCTCCACTGTCAGCAGATAACCTGCCTGCCATTTCAGTGAGAAAACAGAAGCCAGTTGACAGGAATTCCCTCAACTTATAAATGTAGCTGTATCTATCCTTTCTTCCTTTCCTTTTGTCATTGTAAACAACATATCCCTACTCCCATCTGAGGTCAATTTCTCACCCCCCGCCCCCCGGCTTTTGCATCCTGTCCCTCCCAATCTTCTCAGAGGCCTTGCTCTACTGAATTAACCCTCTCCTCCAGAACTCTCATTTCAAGGAGAGAGCTTGTTTAACTATTAATGCTGGATTCTCTCTATTACCTCAGAGTCCTCACACATGCCCTTTCCCTTCCTTGGAACAACTTTCCTACTTCTTCCCCCTCACTTATCATAACCCCTACTCACCCTTCAGGTGTTTGCTTAGATGCTATTTACTTAGATATGACTTCCCTGACCTTCCATCCCACACTATGGTAGAACCTATTGAGCTTCCTGTTTCATGACACTCAGCTCACCTGTATTTACTTGTTCTATGTATGTCTTGCCCTCAAGACGAACATGGTCTCTGCCCTCAGTGTCTTATTAACTGCTGTACTTCCAGTACTTAGCATAGTACCTGGCACATTAAATATTTTTTGCTGAATGAAAGAATTAATTAAAATTCAATCACATCATCTGTAAATGTAATGTTTTAAAATGTCTTCTTTTTCTTCATAGGTTTATATTTTTATTCTAATAGCTATTGCAATCTTTCCCAGGATTGTGTTAAGTTAGAAGGGCATTGTGACATTTTTGTTCTTATAATTCTGTTCTTAAAATTTAAATCAATGTCTTGTACATAGAAGATTCTCAGCAAGAACTATTTCATAGTCATAAAAATCCTACAGTGTGGAAAGATCCTTAGAGATCCTATATTTCAATTTCCTCACAGGAATTCCCTGGTGGTCCAGTGGTTAGGACTCTGCACTTCCACTGCTGGGGGCACGGGTTCTATCCCTGGTCTGGGAAACTAAGAACCCGCATGAAAGTAGCACAGCCAAAAAAAAAAAAAAAAAAATGAAGAAAAAATTTCCTCAGGTCATCCTTTAAGGAAGAAAATCAAAGTACTATGGTATTTTTATGACTGTATTATTACTGCATTATTATTATCTTTTTACTCAGATGGGGGTATCTTATGGCTAGAGACCATAGGGGGACATCCTGAAAATTCAGAGTTCTTTTTATCTTTCAGTTGTGAAGGAGTATGATAATCTGTTAGTTTATAATTTGTATGTGTTTATTTATTTTTGGTTGCGTGGCATGCGGGATCTTATATATATACACACACATGCACACATACATGTAAAATTTGAGGAGGCAGCAGAGTTAATGAACCTAAATAAATAAGAGAGCTCTACATACAAATATAAATGTTTCTCCTTAGAAATGGTTTCTGCTGCCAGCCTTGATGTAAGTCTTACTAACCTACTATAGTTCCTTTCACCAGGTCAAAATATAGTATCAACTTAAGTACAGTTAGGGGCTCCACAGACCACCTCTTCTTGGAGTCCTAGGCAAATAAAACCAGACTACCAAGTCAGCCTAACTGAAAAGGCAATGCAAGTTTTTACTGATGTCTCTTGAAGCATAACAAAGCAAACTTCTTAAAATTCTTTCCCAGCTGTGAATCTCCACACCACTCTCCCACACAGGAGCCACCTCGACTCTCTCCCTTCACTTAAGTGTGATTTAGCTTATGTAGCTTTTTATTTTTCTTCCTGACCCTGGAACTGACCAGCAAGCAAGAACTTTCAGGGTTTGTGTCGGAGGGTGTGTTCGAAGAGATGCCCAGAGGCAATCCTCTATGCTTACTAAGTGTCCAATTTCACGGCAGTCTCATTCCTCAAGGAACAGTTAATAGGCACACTGGAAAAAGCAACATACCAGAGTTGGGTATGTTACCTGTTGGGTGGTGGGATACAGACTCTGGGTAAAATGAGGGTTCTGACATAGGGCAGATCAGCCTGAAGGTGAGCCTAGAAGTGGACCTGGACCTTGACAGTGAATTACCAAATCAGTATTTGTGGAGCCTCCTGTCTCCATTTCTCAGTGGTGGCCGTTCTGGGGTGTTTTCCTTTACAGTCAAAACTCCCTTTAGCCGGATAACATAAGAAAGGATCATATGTACAGGCAGCTAAAAGCTCTACCAGTATCACTAAGAGGTAGTTTGAGATAAGTAAATGGTCTCTGAGGTCCCTGAAGACTAAAAACCGGGTGTCCTGAGTCCCAAATGGTCCCACGCTTCTCTAGTTTAGCAGTCCAGAAGGGAAGTTAAGTCCCGCGTAAAGTGCAGAGTGGTTACGGGCACTTGCTCCTGAGAATCTCCACCTAGCCTCAGCATCCAGATCAGCCAGCTCTGGCTCGTTTACTGCCAGCTCAGGCCGCCTGCGGTCACTCCGCCCACTGCGCCCCTCGGTCTCCTCCCTCTTCTTTCCCTTTTGCGCACCGCCATTTCCGCCTACGGCTTTCTCCTATTTGGGCCCTCCTCGGCTTCCGTCCCAGATGATCCCTCTGCTAGGCTGCCGCCGCCTCCTCCTCCCGGAGCTGGAGCCACCTCCTCGGCCAGTGGCGTAGCCGGGCTCTGTGTCGGGGCCAGTTAGGTAGGGCCGGAGGTCTGGAGCCCGGTCTCGACCCGAGCGGGGGGCCATGGAGAAAGCGGCCCGAGGCGCTCTCGACACCGACTAACGCGGGCCCGTTGCGGCTGCAGGCGCCATGGACCGAGCCCCCGCAGACCAGGTACGCGGGTTTGGGCCGGGCCGGCCGGGCCGGCCGGGCCGGGAGCTGGGGGTCGCTGCTTCCTCCCGGGCGGGCCCTGGTCTCCGAGCGGGGGCCCGGACGGCCGAAGCCTTCGGGTTTTTGCTGGCGCAGACCTCCTTTCCCCGGGAGCCTGGCGGCGCCCCACTCTCCCGCATTGTTCCAGCTGCTGTCTCGAGCTTGGGGGCTTTTCCAGTGCCGTTCCCCCCGGGCTGGGGACTCGCTTTTGTCCTTCCTCCCTGACTTGGTGAAAGGGGCCAGAAGACTCCCAAGTTGTCCGTGCTCTCCCGAGAGAGGGTTTATAACTTCCAGAGAATACCACCTCCCCCCGCTTCCCTTCCCTTCAGTTCTGGAATGTGTTTTCAAGGTGGAAAGGCTTTTGAAGGTTTCTCACGTAGAAAAACTGTCAGAGAATGTGTGATAACTACAGACGAAGGCGGGGGGCGGGTTATGGGCTTCTTAAGATCTACGTTTCCTTGAGCGAAGCATTGTTTTTGCAGTGGTTTTAGGGAGGTCTTCCCTTTTAGATATGAAATACTACGGTTTCCCTTTGCCCTTCTAGCCAACTATTACGCAAAAATAAGTGTTTTTTAAAAGTCGATATTATATTTTAAAGGTGTAGGACCGAAGCGCGAATTCATTTCCGAGCCCGTTTTCATATTCACAGAGCAGTCCCGTTAGTGTTTTCAGTTGCATCAAATTATTGATTATCCAAGCCAGTAGGTGCTGGGAGGCTGGGATGGTGATAGTGTTAAAAAAAAATAATCTAAAATAATAGTTTTCTTCCCCCACAGAAGTTTTGGTATTTTCCATCCTGAGACCTGTATGAAACGATTTAATTTGATGAAATCTAAGTTTACTCACTCTCCATTCCCCTCTTCAGTTGAAGGCCTTGCCCAGTGATGAACTAGGCAAATAGATGAAGGAAAAAGAGAGACTAGGGATTTGCCTAATTACTTTACAAATGGATAATTAACACCTGAATAATGAGACAAGATTTCCCAAATTCCTGTATCTGTATATATGTAGGTAGTGAGAGCCAGTTCTGATTTTAAATCGAGATCTTTTAGCAGGCAAAGAGCAGCCTCCTGGTTGTGTGTGTGTGTGTGTGTGTGTGTGTGTGTGTGTGTGTGTGTGTGTGTGTGTATTTTTATTTTTACAAAATCTTTATTTAAAAAAAGCTTTATGTGAATATGCCTCTGAAAACACAGATGAGTTTTATGAAACAATATGTGTATTTACGGAAGCAAAATTGATTGGGGCCCCTTGGCAGATACCTACAGGCTTTCCTGTGACCCAGGGTATTTTATATACACCCTATATCCAATTTAATGAAAAACAATTTTTCAAGGTATCTATCAAAAGTGTCTGAGATTTGAAAGCCTGACAAGTGAATAGGAAATTTTCTTGAATGATTTTTTTGTATGTGTGTCACTAATGAAAGGGTTAAACATTTTGGTCGTTCTCTGTGATGACAGAACTGTAACTAGTAATGCTGCCATATGTATACTTATGGTTCCCTTCATCCCAGAGGAAATGTAATGAACTATTTAGATGGTAACCCTTAGCATAGTTATTTCTGTGTGATTATCTTAACAGCAAGTGCTATGAGCAAATTATTTAGAGAGCCTCTTCATCTTTCATCCTGTATCTTTTCAAAGTCCACAGCCTATTAAAATCTTGTAGAAATTTAAGGTTCAGAGACAAATCATAAATGTAGGTTTTCCGTTGAAGAATTTTTCTTTTTTTTTCCTCTCCAATACCTCTTGCCTCTTCCCTTAGCCTAACCTTAAATGAGAGAATAATTTGAATCAATCCCCCTTTCCCCCCACACACGCTCACAGGAAGCTGAGACCCCAGGAAGTGATGCCTAGTTCGTGCTGTAGGCAGTTAATTCAGGGGTCCATGGATGACCTGGAAGGAGTCTTCTTCGTTTTAATTAGCACTTTTCTGGGGCAAGTCTCCATTATTTTCATCATATGCTCATATTCATCGTTGAAAAAAGGCACAGAACCATTCATTTCGTGGTAGATTAGGGGCTAGAACTGAGATTTGTCGACTTTGTGGAGTTCTTGATTGTTTTCACTATACCATTGAGAATGCAATGGCTTTTCCAAGTTATTTGGAATGTACTTTTATATTTTTAATAACGAAGTGAATTTAATAGGTAAAAGTCATTAAAAACAGATGCCATATGTGCTGAATTCCCATTTTTTCTCACAAAACATTTTTTTTTTTCATTTTAAACCATTGTTGGTTTATATTCAGAATTTCTGGGAATGTCTGCAGCATTAAAACTTATAATATTGTAGTGGTTAGCAATTCATAGAAGTTTGATTTTTAAAAAATAGTACTAATACACACTTTCTGCATTTTGTCTTAATCTAAGCGAAATCCGTGGAGTATTGCACAAGTGTAACTTAAGAAAAAAACTCAGTATGTTTTGCCTGAAGGCATTCATGTTGCTGTTGTTGAATTACCTCTTTTTTTAAAAAAATATAAAATCTTTGTATAAAAGGATAAATTGTGTGTGCGTTGATCGAGATTATAAAAAATAAGTTACTGGGAATACATGCTATCTGATAGTCTTAATTGTAGTAATGACTATTTGAAAGAATGTTATAACCAGAAGGGAGTCTCAGGAGTACTCTCTTTTAGCAAGACTATATTAAATCAAAACAAGTAGCTTAATTTTAATTGCCAGAGTTAGTTCTAAGAACTACTTGGTATTGTGCCTTTTTGTTGTTGTTGTTGTTCTTAAGGGAAAAAAAGCTGGTATAAAGGGATATGAAGCATAAATCATGGAGTTCATTTTGTTTATAAAGTCTTAGTGTTTCTATTTTTAGTAAATTTAGGACAGTGTTTTGAGATTTTTTTTTTTAATAAACAAGAACCTTAGAAGTTCCAGAACACTTGAGGTTTACTATCTCATTTGTATTATCAAATAATTTAAACATTGGCTTGATATTTAGTACATTAACGTTAGATAAGTTCTTTTAAAATAATTTACAAAATTATTGATCACCGATGTCTTTAATTCTTAGAAAAGCAAATGTGTAATAAATGCATATGGCTTCATGCAAAGTGCTGATTACCAATAAAGATATAAAATTATTCGGTTTATAATTTTTTTCTTTAAATAATTTATAAACTTCAAATAATATCAGCACTGCAAACTAAATATATTCTAGATAAGTTACTCTAAAATGTTTATTATTCAGCAGTACTTACAGTTAGCTTTTATAGATCTAAGTAAATGATTGTCTTAACAGATTTTAAAAATAATACTTTTGTAATTAAAAAGAAGGTAAATAGTGCTCATTTACTGAAAATACCATTTGGAAATTTTAAAAGGCATTTTTCCCTAAGCTTTTAAGTCAAAGAGGAAATATAAAGTAGAATTTTAGATTTTTGAAAAAGTAATAAAATATTACACATGACAATGTATGGGATGTGGCTGAAGCTTACTCTGAGGCAAATGCATAGTCATAAATGTTTTCATTATTCAACATTTTAAAAGGAAATTAAAAATTAAGCATCCAAGGCAAGAAGTTTGGGGGAAAACCCTTCAAAGAAAGAGAGAAAAAAAAATGTAAAAGCAGGAATTAATTAATTAGATATTCCAAAAACTAGTATTAAATTTAGAAAGTTGGATGTTAGAAAAGTACCACCAGACTTTAACAGGATTAAATGTGGTCTGTTTTAAGAAAAGGGGGGAAATGTATGGATAGGAAAGCAAATGGTCAGAGTCTAAGGTAAACGGTTTTTTCAGTATTTTCTAAAGTCTTGGCAGAACTCATATGTATAACTCCTGTGATTTGTTTTGGCAAGTGGTTTACTTTCAGTATAAAACATTCCAACCAGAAAACAATAAAGCCAGCAGGTATCTCGGAAGCATTTTTTCCTTCAGAAGACATTTTATCTTTGGCCATGATATGTAAAACATCTTAATGTTTGATATATCATATTTACCTTAATATAGGAAGAATGTGGAGGGTTTCCATGGTCATATTTTTTCTCTAGGTGTGTAGTATATACTGACATTTCACTGTGGGAGCGTGCCGTATTATGTTCTACTTCAGTTTTGATTTCAAGTGAGTGTCTTTTTTCTGTTGCTTAATTTGGGAAAATTATTCGCACTCTTCTGAATGTTCTCTCTCAGAGGAGTTTAGTATGCATTTTCTGTTGATGTGTGCTTCGTAGTAATGTTTGCCCATTTTCCCTAAACCAGCCTCGTGTGGTGCTCTCTTCAGAACGTGAACTCAGTGCATGTTTGTTGAATTATATATAGGCTCTCAGTGATCTGAATGCGTTTGTTCAATAAACTTTTAAATAAGGTTTTTATAGTTTTTTGTTCTGATAAATTCTTGGGTTTTCTAGATTATTCACATCAAAGAAATTTTATTGATGTTTGTTTTACTGTATGCAGAATTTTAAATGAATGTGAAACAGCTTAAGTTTTGTTTTTTCAAATACAGGTTTCTGGGATTATGATTTTTCATTAATTTGGAAAATTCTGAAATAATTTCTGAAAGATAAAGATAATTTTATTGTGTGTTTTTTTTTTTAACAGAGTACAGGAATAGATTTTGTTCTGTGTTTAGACTTCTTTCATATTTATATTTTATTTAAGGAGACATAAATTTGCTATAAAATTTTTGATTTCTAAAAAACAGATCATGGCAAAAGTAGAGAGACTAATAGTCTAATTTTTTTCATAACATTTTGTTGTCCACTATGTTAAAACATTTTTTCCTTTGATCTTTATGCTAATATAATTGAAATATTGCCAGAATTTGTTGCTTGCTTAACATATTTTCTCTGTGGGCTTTATTATATGGAATTTAAAAAATAGTTTGGGATCTTTACATTACTTTTCAGGCCTGAGAACAACGGAGGCTGCATTTTGATGTATGACACTGAAGGCCCCAAAGTCACAATAAACAACTTATAAAACCATACGGAGTTGTAACTATAGGAGAAACGTTGCCAGTCTGTTCCTACTAGTGACATCTTCTGTTTGTGCAGCTGTTGACTACAGCAGCTTCTCTTTTTTGCTAAAAACAAAGGATCGTTTCACTGTTTGTGAGTTTTATTGTTGAATGCCAATATCTAGAATTGCACTTAGAATAGAAACCAATACAGACTTTAATTTTTAAGGACATATACTGTGTATATGTGCAGATATTAGTTATAAATTATGCATGACACTTTTTGAATAGTGGTTTGCCTAAATTCATAAAACATATAGAGTACAAATGAGACAAGGCATAAAAAAATTTGTGGCACTGTCTCCCCGCCCCCGCGCCACCTGGCTTGCAGGATCTTTGTTCCCTGACCAGGGATGGAACCTGTGCCCCCTGCAGTGGAAGTGGAGTCCTAACCATTGGACTGCCAGGGAATTCCCTGCACCTTTTGACTTGAGCAAGAATTTGAATTTGTTGTTACCGAAGTAATTTATGAGTTGGTATTACTTGTGGGGATCAGGAAAAGTTATTTTTAAATTATTTCTTTATATTAGTATTATTCCTTTTTTTCATATTGGGCTGAGAATTTAATATAACTGCATACCTTGCATTAAAAAAAAATCCTGGTGTCTTCTAGTCCAGATTTATAAAACTGTTCAGGTTCTCATATGTTCAAAGGTTGATATTTTATACCTTATGTAAATAAGTTTTGAATCATATTGACTATCACGGTGACAATCACTGACTTACACTGTTAACATTTGTTTTTGCCTCTTGTGTTGAAATTCGAGAAACCAACTCCAGTTCACAGATATTTGTGAGTTCAATGACGTTATCAACTTCAGATTTGGTTAGTAGTACAGAAGTAGGCTTCAAAGTTAAATCAGGTGGGGAGGAAGGATATTGAATTGATACTGCTATATAGTTCAGATTTCTTCCCCCAGACACATATTGCTGAATATTTACAGTGGACTCTTTGGAGAACAGTTTTTCTGAAAAAGGCTCTATATTTAGCATATCAAGTCTTTTCTTTAGATTTTCTTGGATTTGCTACTGATTACTTTTGTGAGAAACATGCATGAAATTTATTCTGAGAAATATGCCTTGATGGAAGTTTCTACTGAATGCCACCCTAGTGGGGAAAAAGTTCTGGTTAGGGCTATTGCTTTCAGGTAGTTGATTTGAGTTGTTGAAAAATTGGATTGCATTCCACTTACTGGTTTTGCTAAGAAGTGTTTAATATCTTTTTAGATTGTAATGTTTGTGGTTTTTAACATTCTGCTTTTACAGAATGTGCCTATAGATTATTTCTTTGTATAATTAAATTTTAAAAATTTGTTGTTAAATATAACAAATATAGAAAGAAAACTGCATAAAACCAGTGTACAGCTAAATGAATTATTGGATGAATACCTTGTGTCACCCAAGTTAGGATATAGAACTTTGCCAGGTACCCCAGAAACCGTACAGGTGCCTCTTCCCAATCACAGCTCCCTCTTTCCTAAGAGTAATTCCTATCCTAATTTTCATGGCTCTTATTTACTTTTCTTTATAGTTTTGTCACCAATTGTGCATCCTTAGTATGGTAGTTTGTCTGTTAAACCTCTGTAGATTTATAAGGAGAGATACAAAATAAACTAAAATGGAGTACGTAAACTGGATTACTTTAGTTTACTCGGCTTGTCTGCTGGGAATCTGAAGTACTCATTTTTTCCCCAGTTTAAGTGTGAAGCAAAAGTTTTTCTCCCTTATTTTTTTTTTTCATTTATTGTAGACATTTTCCTTCCTTTTAATTTAACCATACTAATCTAATTTCCTGAAATGGACAGAAATAGACTATTTTTTAGACTATTCAAGCAAATATAAAGTAATTATCCTTCAGAACTCTGTTGAGTGATTTTTTTTTCCCCTAACAAAATTAGTTAAAAACACATTGTTTTGTCTGAAGAGCTGGTTTGTTTTTTTTACTACCAGCTTTATTTTTGGACTGTGAGGTACAATTTCCTTGTATTCTTGATTGTTTTAACAGCTTTGGTTATGTAAGAAATGACTTCATTGAAATCTAGTAACCTTTGATAACTTTTCTCCTATTTGATGGCTTTGTTTAAATAACGTAATCATATTTAATTATTTTAATTTGACCTTGCTATTCCTTTGAATATCTTGTGACATTAGAGACCTAATTACCGTTTGTAAAGACTGTCTCTTTTATTGTTAAATTGTGAATTTGTATTATTTAAATTTTTGTTCGTTTGTTAGTAATGTGTTTCACTTTCTCTTTGAAGAATGTCAAGCTGTCAGCTGAGGTAGAACCATTTATTCCCCAGAAGAAGAATCCGGATACATTTATGATCCCTATGGCACTCCCAAATGATAACGGCAGTGTTTCTGGTGTAGAACCAACTCCAATTCCCAGCTACCTGATTACTTGTTATCCATTTGTTCAGGAAAACCAGTCCAATAGGTAATTTGTTTACTATTACTTTCTTTTGGTGGGGGAAGAAAGGGGTAGGGAAATACAGAAGTTGGCAAAGGATACTTCTTAATTTTTTCTTTTGTAACTTTTAAACATTAACCATTTCTCTGTTTTCTAAGAGAAGTAAATAAAACCAAATGATGTAGAAATTTAAAAATTGTTAACATGGATTATTGTTATTTTCTCATTCTTTCTAAGAGAAAATGGAGTTCTTTGTATGTGTCTCCTATAATAAGTCATTGAAATTTGTTTGAAATAAATTGACTCAAAGGGAGGAATGAATTATTCAGAAAAAGGTGAACAAAAATCCTTTTTTGAGGATAGGCATATAATCATAATTGCCAAGGCAGTCTGGCATAAGAAGAATATATCAAGGGGTAGCCCTTAACTTTGAAGCTTTTGTGTCTAGTTAGCATATATGTGTTTAGATTCTGATTGTAGTTTAAATTTAGCTTCTGTGCTGTAGTCACAGGGTGATGTAGCAAAATGCTTACAGTTCAGATAATGTGTGACCTAGTGTTTAGGATGTACCTTGTGATAGTCATGATAGCCTTTCTAACCCTGCTTAGACTGTCTGAATGATTAGCATTTCATTGGTGTAGTTCATTTTATTGCTGTATAAAAGTGCTTTCAGCCTCTTTCAAGTTATATCACACACAAAAAAATTGTACTTCTCCAGCACTCCGGGATAAATGGATGAGGCGACTAGGCTCTAGCCTTTGCCTAGCCACCCCTGAGGGCTAAGGCCATCAATATTTCTACACGTCTATAACCATTGTGGCACACTAGTGTGCTCAGGCACATTCTTTGAGAAATTCTGCTTGTATGAGATAACGGATCACTAAATTACTGTCTCAGATATTAAATATTCAAGCTAATATTCTAAAACTCTTAATAGTTTTGGGCATTAGGCAAACAGTAGAAGCTAAAGGAGTCTTCTCAATTGAGTCAAGTTAACATTATATTAAAAATCTTTGACCTGTATTGGATTGTTTGAAGTGATTTGTAAACTAGATTAAAAATACTATTCTGTATTTGACAAAGTGGCCAAGTGTACAGTATGATAAATTTAATTTTTCTTACCTTACCAAATAATCTTTGAGAATTCATGAGTAAGCCAGCCATCAGATTATTTGAAAATATTTTTAGAATTATGGCAGGGAGTATTTTTCCCTTTTGCTTTGTCATGGAATAGTGAGGAAAAGCTCTGTACTCCAGCCCCCTATGACCCCTCATTTGTCAGCTGCAACTGTCTGCAAGGAGAATTGCTGAGACAGGAAGGACTGGTGCTTTATAGGAAGGGATTGCACTAGGAGAACTCTAATGCTGGAGATAGATGATAGTGAACAAGCTTGCCTTTTTCTTCTCTTCTTTCCCCTGGACCTGGTGCCTGCTTCCATTGCCAAGGAGGGGAGCCAGGGAAA